ACCGAACAAGAAATTAAAAATAGGATCCATCGAATGAAATACATATTGCACAGGGTTAGAAAAATGGTACAAGAGGGCAGTAAAGGGTGAAGTACTCTACTGTGTCCCTTCCGCAGGCCAATGTCTAATAATCTAACAAGAAAAATGGCCAACCTCTGAGTCGTCGATTTTAATGGAACTGTTAGGGCGTGTAGTAGGCATCTCCCTCTTCACAAATCACCCCCATATATGGTCAAATACTCAAAAGTTTTTGAGTTGCTTGATTTTGAAGTTTTCCGTGTGACATACAATGTCACGTTATTCTTTATATGAACAAAGAAATACAAAAACTACCAAGAAACCATATTTGAACAGTTTTCAAGTATCTAATAAAATTTGCAATAAAAGAATATCGATAACGTAATTCATGCCTTAAAGGGTTAATACAGAATTTAATGTTGGCTCTTTGTTCCAAGTTCATTTTTCAACACGCGCACAAAATTTGCTGTCACTTTGGGTGCTATAACTCAGACTCTAATTATCCGAATGTTATAAAACATTGACGCAATATCAGTGGAGGATGTATTTCTCGATGACAAAATTTTTCTGTAGATTCTAATTCAAGTTTTTTCAATCTTTAAAAAGTTCAGTTACGTTTAGGACAAACCGTGTATAACCAATCGTACCTGCATTCTCATTCCTTCTGCGCGCCATCTTTCCAATTCAACACAGCACGTCATTCCGCAAAACCTGTTCGTTACGCTGATGTACCGACATAACACGCGCCGACGATAAATCCGGTACGCGGAATACGTGTTTCCAGCGACTTCATCCTAACCACGCGGACCGTGACTAGTGACCGTTTCATATTTCTTTCAGAACGACGCGATAACTATCGGGACCCTCTCCGCCGGATGGGAAAACTGTTTTGGATCTGTTGCTTCATGAACTATGCGCCGCTCGTCCCGTTACCGTGAAGCACCGTTCTCCCCCATCGCGACACCGTGCTGAGCAATTTCATAAATTGAAACTCCTGAACTGCGCGGCGCGCTAATGCCTCGCCTTGATCTGCGCTAAAAGCTCCGGAACTTTTTTGGTGCGCTGATTTTTGCGGAAGTTAAAAGTGTCGGGAAAATTCGGAATTTATCGTGGTGGTGGTAACCTTGTAGATTGTATTCTGTTTGCAACTTCGGATGATAGAAACTGTGCTGATGTAGATTGGTCCATTTTAATCTCAATATTGCAGTATGAAAAGATTTTGGAATTTAAAACGATAAATACGTAGACACTGTAGAATATAAGGAATATATAGGGTGGGGCAATAACTATGTCCACTTTGAATGTTGCCGTTATTTGTAATAATATGAAAAAATGTTATGTACAAAACTTACACGGTATAGAGGAGATTTCAAGGTCATCTCTATTTTTTTTAATGGAATGCTATGTTTTTTTTATCGAGATGTGATAGTCGATGTTAAGACGACTTCAGCGAGCTATCATTGAAAGTCATGCAAGGTCAAATGTGGTAGTAAAATAAACTTTCTTACATTACAGGAGATGCTCGAAGTGGTGACCGTTTGCGTCAATGCAAAGTTGCAATCTTCGTATCGCTGCATCACGTGCATGTCTTATAGTTTCTGCACTTTTTTTAAAATGGAAATCTATGTTTTTGACTGCATCAACCGATGCAGTTTATTGTGCTCTATATAAAAGTACTAACATACTTATGCCCTAAACTTATTCGTTAGGAAGTTATCGAAGCTAAAAATTCTCTGAATTATTTCGGTCTGTCGGCAAATGTTCCGGAGTACCTACGTTATATTACATTACAATGTTTGTAAACATGAAGCTTCGATCACTTCCTAACGAATAAGTTTAGGGCATAAATATGTCAGTACTTTCATGTAGAGCACAATAAACTCCCTGGACTGGTCCAGTCAAAAACATAGGTTTCTATTTAAAAAAAAGTGCAGTTGCATTTTTCTGATGCACCGATGCATTAATACCATTTAACTTTTACTTATAACATCTTCTTCTATTCCCAACCGTTTAGGAGGTACATCTTGTTCCAGTTGCGTGGGACACCCTGTATATAATATGTGCGTGCGTGTGCATGTGAAAAATGGTATTAAAAATATTACGGGTATAGTTTTCAAACCAAAATCAAGAAGAAAAGATTATTGAACATCGGCCATAAATTGGAGTTGATAGGTCTGTGTTGCTACAGAAAGTAAGATATGTGATTTTGAGTCATTGTTCCGTCGTAGACCGAAACGACGGCTATACAGTCAGACAGTACCGTTACTTTTTATTATTTTATTCCTTCCTTCAGTCAATTTATATATTTGCAAGACCGACCCCTTGCAATTTCGATTTCGTTGACAAAGGGAATCAGAGACAAAAGAAGCGAACATTTGGTCTGCAGTCCGCCTCATGCGCTCGGTAAAAAAAACAATGTCGCGTCCGTCCGCGTGGATTCTCTTTTGAATCCGCCTGGAGTTGTAAATTCCAGGCTCGACCGTCGTGGTACGCGTACAGTTGCGACTGTTGCCCGCCAAATTAATTTTAGGCAACTGATTCAATGTTCTCTCAGTGAGAATAAAACAAATATCTGTTTGACCGATGGAGCGGATGATTTACGAGGTACTAATCGTGACTTGTGATACGATCGCGACAAATAGTTTAAGTCCATATTTGTTTTATTCTCACTGAGAGAACATTGAATCAGTTGCCTAAAATTAATTTGGCGGGCAACAGTCGCAACTGTACGCGTACCACGACGGTCGAGCCTGGAATTTACAACTCCAGGCGGATTCAAAAGAGAATCCACGCGGACGGACGCGACAGTCATCTAAAATCCATTGTTTAACCTTACGCTAATGTAAAATATTGACACAGGATAATGAATATATAAAAAATTGTAATCAAAATTATAAATTAGTCCAGTAATTGATGGCAGTTATATTACAAAATTCCTATAATATTGTACTCCTAGCTAAAAGACGGATGATGTCTTAAAGGACTCGCATATATGGATCGTCTTCATTGTTTATTTCAAGTGTTATTAATTTATATGTTAATGAAATTTTTTTACCAACAACTGTTGCTCAGATCAAATAAAAAATCAAAGGGAAAATGCATAGTTGCCAGTGAGAAATGAAGGGTTCACTTTTTTAAAGGGCTGAGCTTTTTTATGGATTGCGCACATCTACAAATATTGTAGAATACACGGGCGAAATATTATTTCTGAATGTAAAAGCTGAAAGGAGTAGTACTCATCATAAACGTGCAAGAAGTGGTCTATTAAGGAATCACGTCGCTCGTCTAATCAAATTTGTCATACCGACAAAGCAAATTATTTAAGATCCTTCGCTAGACTACTGTTCCAGGTCCCATAACACTAACGTAAAATCTCAAAAATATGTTTGAAAATCCCAAACACTAATTACTTTCCTACATGGTTAACAGTATCTACATACTCCTTTCGTTTCACTGCACTGAATGTTCGTCTCGTTCATGAAGACTCTAGTTCAAAACATCATTAAAAAGCAAATATACCAGGCTATTAGCTAGTTAATGCACCGTAATCTGCTGGCTCCCGTTTCAGTCCGTACTCGACTGTTTGAATCCACTTCGAGTTGCAGGGATCTCGGTGGATCACCATGGATGAGTTCGTGAACAACGAGGAATGTTAAAATGGCTCCTAGCCGGGATCGAGGCAGATCCGAAGGCGAATCGAGTCGACGCGACTAGCGTGGAAGCTACCCATTAAACAATGATCGCTGTTCTTTCAGCTTACTAAAACGGAGGGGATCAACGAATCTTGAATGCAAATATTGAAAAAAAAAAACACGCGTCCGTTCGTTCGAGCGCGAAAAACGAGGCTTTGATTCCGAGAGCGTGCAAAACAACGGATGATCGGCATCCGCGAAAACCAAACCGAGTTTCATCGCGTGGATGCGCAGCCACGGTCCATTTAAGCATCGCTGACCGAAACGGCTCGAAATAAAAGCGTTCGATTCAACTCGCCATTTTCATCCTCTCCTCTTCAACCTCAACGCTGAACAGAAACCGTTTACAATTTGTCTGGTGGCCTGCACTGTGACGGGACTTAATTTAGTCCTCGCTATAAAGAGGGATTTTCATTATTTCTCTAATGTTCCAGAATTATGAAACTTATTATTAGGTCAAAGATCATAGAAGGTTTCGTTGGTGCAGTACCTAAATGTTTACTGAAAATGTAAAATGCTTTTGAATATTGTACAATAGAGGCTAGATTATCCGAACACTGCATTAATCCGCTAAGTTGCTCGATTTATTCGAATTGTGTTTTTACGATTTGGGTCAGGAAAGTACGAATTTGCAAAAAAATGTAATGGTTACCAATGGTAATTGTATATCAGATTTGAATGAAGCTTGTTCCAGATCAAGTCGATTGTACTGAACCAAAAATTTGGTACATAATACTAAATATATATTAAATCTTTTAAGGTCCAGATTCATTAGAAAAGATACCTTACAAATCTGCAGTAACCCACTGCAGGAACTTCTATACATTCTTCTACTCCACGTCGATCAAACTCATGTAATTAAGTTCATCATTAATTCATTGACAGAATTGTCTCAACAATCTTTCACACTCTTGTGTCACAGACACTGAATATTCTCTTACAGCAAGGATAGACTAATTTAAAACTCGAATTACGAACTGTAATTAAACTACACTGCTTAAATGAATTAGGGTATCTCTAATGTGGGCGGTCCTGTTGCGCCCACTAAGTGAAAAAACACAAGTCCTGAATTGATAGCTTTCGAATTAACATGAGCCAGCGCCATTACGCTGCGAAAAAACCGAGCGTTAAAGGGTTAACACCCAGTTTATTTGTATAAAAAATTTTTCCAAAAATTATACCTAACCGTGAGAGACGATTCTCTAATTCTTTCAAGGAGTGTATTTGAATCACGAATATCGAAGATTCTACAGTAACTCCAATCGACTGTAAGACCAGTTAATAACTCACCATCAGCATGGATTCCCAAGCCATCCATCGAATTGGCAACGGAGGCCTGCCCTCGACCCGGAAGTAGTCAGCGGCATAGGCGTTCCTTCCGGAACCCAGATCCGACACTTTCACCGTATACCCACGACTTACCAAGCAGTTTCTGTAACAAACACATAAGCCGTTCAATCATATCTCCTCTTTTTGATATTTTTTTCAATGCAACAGCTGGCGCGCTAGCGGCTGCGTCCGTCGATGTTTTTTTCAGTTGACCCACATAAGCGGCAACGCTAACTTTTTCAATATTTCTGGATTCCCCGAATATACAGTAAACAGAGAGAGGTAAAAGAAAAAGAGAACCAATTCCTCTTCTATTTCTCGGGGGTTAATCCTTTTTCCATTTGGCTGTCGTCACTCGTTCGAGCGTCCCCCTACTCTCTGCTCGACCCCTGCAGCAACCCCAGCGTATTTACGACGGAACATCCCGTGGTACAAGAAGACACAGTAGACTTCACGAGATGATCCGTCTTCGAGGCCGAGTAGATTATTTCGGTTCCCCTATTCTGTCACTCGGCGGATACACGGGACAAGGGTATTGCCCGTGAAACGTGCTTAATACACAGTTCATAGGTCCCCGAAGAGGGTCTGAGCTATCCGATAAAAGAGATCCCGCCTCGGCTATTTATACGCGTTGAACGTGTTACGAAATTATTTCTGACACGACATCTGCAATCTTGATACCGTGTTCATCGTACTCTTACGGTTATGACATCTGAAATCTTAAGCCTGTGGGCTTATATCTCTCTAATGTGAACGGTCTCAGTATGTGTGGACGTGAAAGGGCTGATAAACTTGCAGAAGAGATGCGTGCACAAAAGAACTATCTAGATATTTTGGTTTATCATGTAGAAAAATAAGTAGTGTGCTACAAAATCTACTACTTAAATAATATAATGACAGATACTGTCAGGTAAGTTAGTGTAGACAGGGGGCACAATCGAAAGGTCTCAGTATGTGTGGACGTGAAAGGACTGATAAACTTGCAGAAGAGATTGCGTGTATAAAAGAACTATCTAGATACTTTGGTTTATCATGTGGAGATGGAGTAGGTGTTACAAAATCTACTGCCTAAATAATATAATGACAGATACTGTCAGGTAAGTTAGTGTAGACTGGGGGCACAATCGAAAGGTCTCAGTATGTGTGGACGTGAAAGGACTGATAAACTTGCAGAAGAGATTGCGTGTACAAAAGAACTATCTAAATATTTTGGTTTATCATGTGGAGATGGAGTAGGTGTTACAAAATCTACTACTTAAATAATATGACAGATACTATCAGGTAAGTTAGTGTAGACAGGGGGCACAATCTTACGAACCTTCGGACGAAGGTGTGTGGGTACATTTTGACACATGATTTCAGAAACATCATGCAACAATTCCACTAGCAAAAATTAAAAGAAGTCTAGAGTTGCTTATATTACCTTTTTACAGGAAGACTTTGCATGTTTTAAAAAAATTCGATCCAAAGCGCATGTAATGACGAATGAATAGAAGTTAGCGAAATCCAGGTACCGCTGTATATTCGATCATCAAAAATATATGCTTTTCAAGAGTTAACCCTTAAAAGACGGGAGGTCTAGCTTCAGGCTCCAGAGGGGTCGCTTATTTTTTATAATATAACACTATAACAAATCTATAAAATTTTTAATTCGGAAATATAAAATATCGTGAAAAAAAGGTGCCTGTCCTCTAAAAGTTAAAAGACCTTCATTGCTTCAAGCCACAATAACGTTAAGTCTCGTATCATTTAATCAAGAACTCTGTACTAAATCTTTTTCAATTATGCTTTTACGTAATTATTAAACAAATACCAGCACCTGAAGGAATACGCAAGATATATATATTATTCATACTGGAACACCAGTATCAAGCATGATGTTCATCAGAATTTTCTTCCGTAATTTTTATTGGTAATTCCGCATATTCAGGGTGTTCATAACCCATCATCAACCAGCGATTGCAGATCTATTTAGTATGATGACAACTGACTGATTGCCAATAAAATCTTCTATCATTAAGTATGTATGGAAATTGTGTGGGAACATTCAGAACGTAGTTTATAAACACTGAGGTAAGCCTCGCATGCGATGGTAGAAGCCAGTAAGTCAAACAGGCTGCTAATATACAAAAATGTTTATATCTCAAAAACGCTTAACCTTTCGATCAATGTTTACTAAGGATCTTTTACTCAGCACAATGTGTCCTATGTACCATATAAATATTGAATGCCTTTTTTTAACACCCTGTATTTAAAGCACGGCACTCTACACGATGGTAACTATCACAATAGCCGAAGAGTTTCTTCCAAAAAGAACTCCTCGGTCCCCCATCTCGTACTTTACCTTCTTTACCTTTTTTACGCTTTACCTTTTGTTACCTTTCCATTGGTGTCGGAGTCGCGTCTGACGGCGATGGATTCTGGAAGATCGCTTCGTGGCTGGGCGAATAGGGTTGAAGGAAGGGGAAGCGCCACTTTTAAGCAGCTCGCGGCGGAAATGTTCCGAGCACGTCGAAAACGATGGTCGTTCGAAGTTTTGCGCTGATTTGCGCGTAAAACCTGGGCGTTTATCGCTCACGGTGTCGGAGGAACATTTTAGTAGCTTCCGACGTCGCGTCGCCGCGACGCTTTTATTTTACGCGCGTCACGGAGTGCCCTCCAGGTATTCCGTCCGTTTTCTGGCAGATTTGCACGGGAACTTTTTACATCGTACACTGGTTAAACGACGAACTCTGGTGACGCGTAACGGAACGGTTAAAAATATTATTACACGCTTTAATTAATCTCCACGGCGTCAGGGTACAACAAGAGTGTAGTAGTAGCGGGAAACGTTTTCCAACTGCACAGGGAAATGACAGAAAACGCCCGGCAGCATAATACGCTTTGTTGACTATATTAATTACAAACAATCGTACGCGTGTTACGAGAGGCGGAATGAACTTGGTATGATTAAAACGTTTGAATGGGTCGACAGTTGCGTTAATACGGCCGCAGAAATGTTTTCGTGTGTCCTTGTGGCTCGTATACAGGGTGTTAATGAAAATGTGGGACACTCTCTTTGAGTGGATTCTACAGGTCGAACTATACTACAAGATACTCTCAATAAATTACAGCCTTGGACATAAACATCTGGTTTTAAATTTTTTAAAAGCGAAATAGAAATTATAGAATTCAATAGATCACGTGCTGACATTTCCATGAAACTACTTAAAACTTTCATAAACTATTAATCAATCTACGTGCATCTCATTGGTACAAAGAATACAAATTCATCAGAATGTATAGAAAATTCAACCTAGAAAACAATTATTCTTTTCAGTCCTAAGTTCGAAATATTGAAAGTTTTTTTTCATAATTGATGTATCTCCAAATACTAATGACAATTACAAATTTATGTAGATAATACGATAATATTTTGTTAAATATTGTAATAAATAGCTATTCAGTAGATGATTTTATAATGTGTTTGATTATTTCACTACTTTCCTGTTTCTACAATATTACACTTCGTAAAGTTTGAATTCAGTTTAGAAGTTAGTGGAGATAGAATAATTAAGAACTAGAGCGACGATTTATTGAAAATACGGGCGATATATGCGTGAAATACGTCGGACGCGATGGGTTATACTAAATCGAACAGCTGGATTCTGAGCTGATACACGGATTCGACCAATAACCCTGTGAATTTAAGGAATAAAATAAAATGAAATCAATGAAACCAATGCGTGGAACAGTTGACAAACTCGCTTCTCAAATAGAATAGCCCGTCGCGTCAGACGTACATTATCGTTCATAAGTATTAGGACACCTGGTCTGTTTGAATGAATTGCGATGTTTTGTACAAATAATACAGGGTGTCACAAAAGTGTTGCAGGTCCCAAAAATTGGTTTCTTGTGAAGTGATTTGGAATAAGTTTTGCCTTAGGAAAAATGTTATTCGAAGCTTTTAAACGACATATTAACATGAAAACGTGAATCTATCGGCCGAGCTCTGATTGGTCGGACTTTCCGTTAATACCTCGTTAACAAAGCCTCGAATAACATGTTTGCTAAGGAAAAAACTTGTTCCAAATCACTTCACGAGTGACCCATTTCAGGGACCTACAACACTTTCGTGACACCTTGTATACTTTAAGCCATTTTTATGTATTTCATAGTACCATAAGCGTTGTCCACCCAGCTTATATGTCCCCTAAACAACATTTATTCCAGACTTTTAGCAATTTCGGAATGTTTTATAATACTTATTGGATATTCGTTGAGTGTCTTAATACTTATCAACGGGAGTGTATTTTGCGCGCATTTCGGCGGTATTTTCAACAATTATTATCTCGAGAACGAAGCCTCGAGTGAAATTTCATGATTCTTGATTTTCATCTTAATTTGGCATGTAGAATCCATCCTGTGAAAGTGTCCCACATTTTTATCGACACCCTGTATATGAAATGTCCTGGAGCAGTTTTTTCGCCAGACGACTTTCGTTGGCGATAATGCGTGCTAATTGTTTGCGCGATCGCCGTCGTTTAATCGGTGGGTAGAGGTCCACAAAGGGCCGCGCACCGTTTCATATATCCACGTTTCATTTACCGCTCGGGCGGCCCGGTTATTTGGCCGTTTGGCACGACACTCGTTGCCAGTAAATCAACAGGCAATTAATTTCGGCCTCCGCGCCTGTTCCCGCTTTTGCCGTTGCGCCGCACGTAAACTTAAATTATAATTAAAGTTTATGATTAGAGTTAATAATTCGAACATGTGACTCGGCTATTCTCTGCCCCGCGTGTACGGTTTTAATGGCGCTACTAGGTTCACCGTTCCGTTGAGTTGCCAGCGGTGTCGGGAACGAGGAGTTTCTAAATCGAACCTGCGGTAGAGTGTACGGCCTGGAGTCTGATGAAATTGCGAGAGAAAGGGCTGGTAACTTCGCCTTTCATGTGTAAAAAAAATCGTTGGATCTCTATTGCCCGCTGTAATTTTCAAGTCAGATACCAGGTTTTCCATTATTAAGCAAATGAGAATATTTCTTCCCACGGTTGATCAGTGTAAGTTCAAAATTATAATATGAATTCTAATTTGCAAATGCACTATCGCCTAGTGTGACTATAAAATCAACAATCTGTTTTGGAGAAAATTAAAATCTACGAAATTGAAACTTTAAGTTTCGTGTATCCAGCTGGTTAGTAGTAGGCAGTATATGTATACAGAAAAAAGTTTATTAAACTGTAAAAGTATATTTGTGTTATAGAGGGTTAACAGAGCTCAGGAAACGTTTTAGAATTTCGCAGTGATAAAAGGGAGGAAGATATGAAATTGATGATAGCTACTGTGAAATTCTATGAATTAATACGAAAATTTAGTAGATAATGCGTGAAATAATATCGTGGGTGTACTCATAGAAGACCAGCTGTATTTAATATTATATTTTGCCAATATACTGCTAAAATAACTGCTGAACACACTAGTAAATCTTCAATACCTGTTAAATGAAACATACGAACGTCTTGTCTCGTAGAAATGCAACATTCATAATTGTTTGTGAATTAACCGAATTAGAGGGAGGGTTAATTTAGCTTCCGAGGTAGCTGTAGATCTAGAATATCTTAGTACTTAATGTTTATTACCAGTATGCGAAAGGTTAATTTTCATATGTTCTTTCACCATGAAGTAAAAATCGACAGTTTACGACTTAACGTCTTTTACCAGAATACACACGATGTGATTATCGATCGATAATTGTCGTATATATAGAATACTTTGTTTTTTCCTATTATTAGACAGAAGATTTTATGCATTTAAAGTATATAAGACTCTGTGAAATAAAATAATAGACAAAACATTCATCACATGCAACGAGTTTTCTATTTTATTCTTAACCCAACAAGGTACTCAGGGGAAGAAAGAAATTCCTACCATTTTATTACCATTAAAATGTCACTTTGCAGAAAAATCTGCAATCTACCTATTACTATCACTAGACTACATATGTTTATAAAAAACATGCAGTTTTACGAATTAATGCCTCGAAACTGAACGCAAATAACAATCTACATATGTATTTACGCTATTAGCGGTTCTATAGTTCGAAATAAAAAAGAAAACTGAACAAATTTTTTGAATCTTACTAGTATAATGAATTTACGTAGATCGAATATTTAAAAACGCATGAAATCCGCAGTCTTACCATATCACTTTTACTCCGCCCACGACTTAGAGATTAGACGTCTATCTTCGTAGGAAGTACAGAACTCAGGATCTTCGAACCGACCGTAGACATGGACTCAAACGAAACCACATGTTCACCATGGCGGTTGTCCCCCCCCCCCTCCCAACAACGAGAAAACACGCGTTTGCACAGCGCAAAGAGCAGTGAAGGTGTACATACCCCGTCGAACGAATGACTGATCGGCCGAAGTTTGTCTTAAAGTAATCTATGAGAAACTGTCTGTGTCGTTACCTTGTGGCGAGATCCCGATGCACGAAGTCCATTTCCTCGAGGTGTTTCATGCCGGATGCTATTTGCGTGGCCATGTAAACCAACGTGCCGAAACTGCAACACGAAGGAACGAGAGACGTTATCCGTCCTGAAGTTTACTCCTCGAAACTATCCTGTTCCGCGTGTGTACTTACACACGTGCGACGATACCATATACGTACACAGGTATCCTGCGTTGTGCACATACACACGAAACAGTCCCGTTCGTGCGTCGTACTCTAGCAATACCGCAAATGACGACGATTCGACGTTACAGACCGAACGAACGCACCGGTGTCGACCGGACCGTTCGCATTAACAACAAAAGCCCGGGCGCAGATCGATCGTTTTGCAATGTACGTTTCTGTGCGCCGCCCATAGAAATAAACCACGCTGCTTTGCTTCCGTTTCTGTTTTTTCTTTCTCACCTAACTAGGTATTTCCATTCGGTGCGCTCGACGAACCCGGTCAACGAGCCCTTTTTTATTTTCGGATGGAATCGTTAACAAAATGCCTCGGTGATCGTCCTTAGAGACGGAGCACGCGTTTAATGGCGGACAATGTACCGGGTGTCATGTGACTGGTGGTACAACAGCGTTGGGGGATTCTATGGGAGAAAATGAGTCGAAGAAATAACGTTTTTTGTTTTCGAGAAAATCGTGTTTGACGATTAATCTGATACGTGAGTACACTAAATCATTTATGAATGCTCGAAGGCTCCTTGGTATTGAATGTTTAGACGTTATCCCCACCACTGGGAGGGGGGGCGTGGAACTAGCCAAGCGCCCAGTGATGGAGATGACGTCTGAACACTTCCATGATTTACTGTATTCGTCCATGGTAGTAAGTAGAAACGGAACGCAATGAGCACACGCGGTAGCCAAGTCCTATTCAATTGGAGCAAGTTATACAGAAACCTACCAAGCCTGAAAATGACAACAAAATTAGTTAAACACACTACGGATCCCATTATTTTGTGATCTTTATTTTGCAATAAAATTACCAACCCATAGAACAACTCTTACATTGTATTGTACAATTACTGAAACTACCAAATTATAGGGAATTAAAAATAATATTAAAATTAACTATAGAAAATTTAAAATAAAATTAAAATTAACTATAGAAAATTTAAAATAATATTAATTATACTACTCACTATTAAATAAGCTATTGAAAAGCATTGTAGAACAGCAACAAGAAATAATATATATCCAATCGAAACAAAGCGACTTTCTTTTTAAATTAAAATCTTGAAACTGAATTTGCAGTATCACATAAGTATTCGTATCCTCGTAATTCTTGAATTCGAATGACTAATAATTCTTTAACAATATATACTTACATTCTGCAATGTTTATCATTTTTAAGCTTTCGAATGATGTGTCGTTTATTGAAAAAAAAAACAATTCATAATAATATAAGTGCAAACTCATAGTAATATAGTATAGACATTCATAGTAATATAAATGAAACTCACAAAAGTATTCGTATTCGTACCAGTTGTCTCCTTGTGGAATCAAAATATTTTCAAATATTTGTAAATTTCCTGTAGCCCCTTAAATTGTACGAATTATGCCAGATTCACACTAGCAGTCACGGTACGGTTAGATCACGTCAAATCAGGCAGCGGTCTTTATTGCTCACACGTAATCCAATAAGAGAGATATAGCCTAAATTCAAACTGCTCGTGATCTATCCGTACCTTTGAACGTTGGTGTGAATCTGGCTTTAGAATACTTTCATGAGATTAAATTTTCGATGATTTGTTTAAGTTTTCAATTACGATTATTACTATTTTCAATTAATGATATATAAATCGAAAACCAAGATATTGCAACAATATATTCTTATTGATAAACGTTTCAGAATGTATATTGTTAAAGAATATTAATCATTCAAATTCAAGAATTGCGAGGGTACGAATACTCCTGTAATTCACTGTATGTCATTTCATTGAGGATTAATAGCTTTCTGCATAACTTGGTCCAATTGCACGTGTATCCAGCAGATATTCAAAGTCGATTTTCTCGGAAACGAAGTCTGAACTAAAAAATCTTATTTTACATTTTCGACTTGTTTTTTCACGTAAAGTCACTCCACTGTAGCAGTTGATTGTACCACCAGTCACATGATACCCTATATACCGACATGACGCGAAAGATACAGACTCTCTCATTCGAAAAACGCGACCTATTCTTTTTCGGGTAACGTTTTCGTAAGCGGATTACGCGGTGGAACAGATTTATTTGTCCGTGGGATGGCCACGTCAACGATGGCCGCCCCCCACCCGCGTAAATATTGTTGGACGCGCGCGCGGCCCGTGTTCATGAAGAGGAATCGTTATATTTCATTCGTGCGAAACTCCGTTTTTTTTTTTCGAAAAAAAAAACACATCGAGACGCACCGCGAATTTTCATTGTTTCCCTTTCCGTGATTTTTGACCCCCCGCTGACCCTCACTCCCGTGATTTTTTTTCCGGGACGCGAAATTCGCACGGATAACACGGAATTGCAATTACTATACGTTTATGCAACGGCAGAAGGTAATGTTTCCCGGGCAGTCGAATATATCGATGTTAACGGGTCATTCTCGACACATCGTTTGGCGGAACGGTTCGGTAGTGGTTCGATTGCAACCGATCGGTTCGAAAATATGGATTTGGAAACAATTTTGTGCGTCTGAAAATTGCATTCACCGAACGAGCACGGGTGGCTAACACTAAAAATGGCAATCGAGCGTGGTGAATGGAAATAGTTTCGTTTACGTTGTCGGTCTAATTAACAGAATTGAGTAAGTTGAACTCGACACTCGGGAAAGTATTTAACTCTGTCACGGAATTCATTCGTTTTCCGTAGATTTCGCCCGAATAACATTAATTATGAATATCGATTGTCGTAATTAATTGATTGTCAAAGTTTGTCTCTATTTTTTTATTTGACCACGGTTAGTATGATATACTGTTATTTGTTTTTTTTTAAAACGATCGAACACATTCAAACACGAATATGCAGAAGTGAACGAATTATTAGACCAATTAAACTAACAGTGCAATATAGTGCAGTATAGTACAATATAGTTCAACACAATATAATCCAGTACACCCTTTTCTAAATCTGCTACGTACATTATCAACAACTTATTTGTAAAATAATTTGTAAAATAAGTTGTTGATATATTATTCATTGGTTTACAAAAAAATTTGGAAAAAATATTTCTTTTTAGCTTCCGTTTTTTTAAAAAAAAAGGTTGCAATTGTCGTCAATAATTACGAGCGCTTTTATTTCGTGTCGTATTCACTTCTATTGTGTACTATTTTCGTTCTTACGGCCAATTAGTTGGAATTTTGTTAAATTTTCAACCCCCTTTAATATAATGAATTCCCAATTTCCGTATGGACTCATATTTCAATACTGATCAAAAGCACATGGAATTGTATTAATTTGTAGCTTGAAAGCGGCGAAATTCACGCTAAAAGTTAAATTAACGTCAAAATATTCCAAATGAAACGTCATTCTGAACAAAGTGTAACACAGTAACCGGATAACAGCGTACATGGTATTTCACGAGTTACAAAACCGTGAAAATAAATGCTCTTCTTCTGTAATACGTAATTAATAAATTTCGATAAATTTGGTTACAATAGTCGACAGGGTAATTCAGCTCAGAGTAATTTAAGAATTAAGAAATTTCAGATAATGTATAAGATAGATTTTTCTACAATTGTAGGGAAGAATGATTATTAGGATTATTATGTTATTATACGACTTCGCGAGCCATTCTGAGCGGTCGTTTATGAGACGAAATTTCAGTAGCTCGTGAACTCTCGAATAGCTATATCAATCCCGATCGAAGATAAAGAGGAGCCGGAACGATCGTATCGGTCGTTCCCTCTTTGGCAGCGGTCGCAGGAAACGAACGCGCGGGAAAAACACGGTCCGGCCGACAGCTGTCACGAGCACCCGATGATCTTCTCTCTGTCGTTCACCTCTCATTTTCAGCCGATTTCTCGTATTTCGAGCAGTTTCGACTCGATCCGCGGACGTGCCGCATTTCCACACGCGCCTACGAACGTGATTGGAACTGACGTTCTCGCAACGATAAAATCGAAAAATTGGGTTCATTGTTCGCGGCACGGAAGCCATCGTTAGCTGGAATATCATTCGTCACGCGTATCGACGATGGGGACACCGACACGAGAAAAAATCGCCGTTGTTACATTTTCGATTGGACACACCAGTTACAATAAAGGGGGTGGGGGAGCAGGCGAGTGATTAAAAAGTCAAGCATCATTCGACGGCATACGGTTAACTGACGTATTGTAATATATGAAACTAATTTTCCGCGAAGAGTATGGTGAAATGTTTGCTGGAAAATTGCTTCGCGACCGGTCATTGAGGAAAGAGACGATTTCGATGCAATTCGAAAGTTTTTTCGGTCAGTAGGAATTGGCACTGATTATTCAGAATGTAATTTTACTGCAGTTACTGTAGCTATAATACATCATTTTTATTCTGTTCATTCGGTTTATCTTATATTCGACTCTTTTAATACAGGTTGCGGCATTTAAATTGACACGTGAAAATATCATAAAAACAAATCATTTCATAAGAAAGTATTTTAGACAACAGTTGTTTGATTTTGAGGGAGATAGAGAATGACATTATGTATTCTTAATCTGGTGAACGTTTTGAAGGTCATTTGAAGGTCAACTTTGTGTTTTTAAATGGATAAAATTTTGTTTAAATTGAAAGACAAAAACGTTTCAGAGAAGAATTGTTTATTTTTTTACGTGGATTAACGACCTGTTAAAAGAAATATATGTATTCATTTACGAAAACGCAGGTAACCTTCAAATGACCTTCAAAACGTTCACCAGATTAAAAATACATAATGTCATTTTCTTTCCCCCACAAAACCAAAAAACTTTTGTCTAAAATACTTTCTTAAGAAATGCTTTGCTTCTAACGATATTTCCATGTGTCAACTTACATACCGCACCCTGTATATCTACTACACTTTTTATATTTTTTCTGTATTTTAGTGGACTCATTCCGAATACATATCGCAGTCCTGGAAGAACAATGACACAACTGCAAAAAAGTAATTTTTCAGGAGATGAAAGAAGAACAATTGTTTTTAGTGATACTTCTGATTAAATAATGAAACAATGTTTCACAATGTTGGGAACAAAGTGATTGTTAGCGTATTTTGGTCACTTTTAAGTTGTATTAGTCACGAAGATATTTCTGAGACCAGTGACGCGTGTTACTCAAAATGTTCCAATTTTGCACTTGTGTTATCGTTCTTCCGAACCCATGATACGAATACAGAGAAATTTTCAAGCTTCTTCTAACAATTGTTTGAGACAGAATAGTCTCTTCAATTACTCGTTCGTAAAATTATATTAATTACGGATTGTCAGAAACTATAAACCATATAACCGTTCTAAAGACGATTATTGATTTTTTAAATATGGGAGTGCATGTTTTAAAAATCACAGAACTTACGAAATCACCGCATATTAACTAGACGAAAAGAAATACAGTAGAACCTTGATTATCGGAACATCACTTGATTGAACACTCTCAATGTATATTTAGTTGAATTTTATTTTGCAAAATGAACAAATCGTATATAACAATTTCATTTTGAGTTACTGTCTAGCATTTTTAGTTTGGAAGTAACTTTGATGATAAGAAAAGCAAAATTAAATTAATTCGTCTGTAAAGCGCGTATTAACACATTTCGCTTTAGTCCTGTAAAATTACAAGTTTATTGGACAATTGCTTCAGCACTGGTTTATTATCATATCCCTTCGAACATTTTAAACAGCCAATTATATAATATAAGAATTTTCCTCAAAACTTCACATAAAAGTGAAGTTCAATTTAACACGAAGTCAAATGTATTAACACTATAATTACCAAGCAAGTCAAAATGTTTTGTCGGTTCATTCTCATACCGATGATTAAAATATTATAGCCATATATTATCTCAGATATTTTTAATATTCTGTTACGATTTGAGAAAGAAGAAATTAATTAATTTATAAATTTTCAAAAGTTTGTCATGTTTATCGATCGATCGAAATAGATGTGCGTTTATCGTCGGTAGATCTAGGGTTAAGAACACTTTGAAGCCAACAGGTGACTCAAAACACTCGTAAAGTAAGAATTAAAATCGTCACAAAGTTAAAGCTGTTCATTACAACTACATCAATAACGTATAACAAATACTTATATTCCCAGTATTCATAAAGATTCATCTCTCAAACATCCGATTACCGTGAAATCGTTCCGTATAATCAAAGTTCCATCGTGCTCGCAACAGCCTATAACTATGATGATCCTTTCCAGCCGATTTAATCCCCGAACCCGTCTGTCGAATCGTTAAAAATGTTGTTTCGTCGCCGTGAGGACGCTGTAATTAGCCGTACCTGAGGGTCTTAGCCGTGTGCACGGTCGACGTTTCAGCGATGTGGCTCTGCAAATATTGATTCAAATCCCCGTACTCGCCGTTCTCCGATACGATGCACATGGGATCGTCTTGGAGGCTGGCGCCCAGTAGCCGTCCGACATTCCGATCGGCCAGCCGTGCCAGTCGTTTTGCCTCCTGTTGAAATTCTATCCTGGAAAATACACGGGGACACTCGGAAGTAATATCTTTATAGTCGGATGCCTCGCCGACCCCGTGCGACGGTATTGAATACGGGCATACCGGATGATGCCGGGGGAATAATGCGAGTTAGTCTGTCTGGGTATCGTACCGTTTTCCCGTGGAACTTCTCCCTCTTTCTCTCCTTTTTTTCTCCAATCCTTTTTCTCCCTCTAGAGGAAAATGTGAACGAGGGGTGGGGATGTGGGGTTGTGGAGGGGGGAGAAGGGCGGACAAGGGAGAAAAAAAACGGAAGAACAGAAGAGGGATTGTAGCCGGCAGAAGGTACGTAACACGGGGTCACGGATAAGAGCCGGCCGAGATTATCGTTTCAAGAACGCTTGTGAGCTTCATGTTTAATAGGGCCTTGCCTGTTGTGTTTCGGTTGTCTAATATTTATGATCCGGATAAGAGAAAACCTGATGTACCTCTGAGCCCCACAAGGACTTGTTGTCGAGACTGAAGCAGAGTATTCAGCGGATCGAATGACTACTGAGCGCATGGAATTGTGTTGTGTATGTATATGGATGGTATTATGAAGTACACTACCGCTCATAAGTTTAATCGCATCCGTGGAGATGCAGTAAAACTGAAAGTAACTGTAGAAGAAAAATGAATTGTCTTGTATAGCATATTATTTGAAATTGGGGGGTAACGTGATAATTATGGATGCACATATTATTCGAAAATACCTTCAACAATAAAAATATTTGAATCTGCTAATGAATGATATGATCGTAATGAATACTACATAATACAGGGAAGATATGGAATCGTGTTTTCCTTCTAACCTACAATAGTACATTCCAACGTGCTATGATGTATACTAAATTGCATGGGAAACAATTAAGGAGACATTAACCATATTTTAAATCGAGTATTGAAATAACAATCGAGTTGGTTACAATATTATTGCGTGCGTATGGAGTTCGCTAACAAGTTTGTTTTACTACTGAAAACTATGGTTAAAAGACAGCAGTCAAAGTTGGAAATTACAGCTGAAATACATGTATTACACGATATGAAGATTGATACCTTCTTTCTTTTAATCAGGCAAAGCACGACAACGTCAAATAACCGAATATTGTATGCGGGACTAAACCTTTGCGTTGTGCGATTAAAGTTATGAGTGGTAGTGTCTATGTTCTGTCTTTCTTTTCTTGTTTATAAAGACGTTGATACCTTTGGGGGTCATCGACATTGACCTTTTCTATTGAAGCTTGGATGTCATTGATGACTTAGACAGCGGATCTTTATGCATTTATAGCTTCTCTTAACTTGGGAAATATAGTAAGATAAAGGTTTTAATAAATTTTCATACTATTCGTATGTGATTGTTAAAGTAGTGAAGCTTCTAGTACAGAATACGAAATTCTGCTCCATTTCGATTTTTAGATACAGGTATCAGAAACTGTAAATTTCCATAAACTTTCGCAGTTTCTCGATGACTGACAGAGTTAGAAGTAATGTAGACATGTCAAATAAACGGTAATATTTGTAAGCTTTCCGATATTATTAATAATATAATATAAGCCATTAACCTTCATCAATATAAATGTACAAACTATAATAATACAGATCAGTTCAATAATTTTATATAATATTTTGGCAACACGTGTTTCGTGTAGTGAGAACTTCTTCGTTGAAAATATGTAGATATTTAGTATTTATGTCTATGCTTTATATGTTTCAATTTTATGTAATACGCTAACATAATAATAGCATTATTGCATTTAATACTATGCTTTCTTTGAAATGCAATCCTTGGTTATGCTGTATAAGGATTCTAATTAAGGAACTTTATTATGCGTGTGGTCAGCGTGCAAACGGACTACGTAATGCGTCTTTGTGGAGATCAACGCAGCAATTTAGCGGAAATGAGACTGAAAGGAAGCTTCCTAACCGGTACATGGAAAATTATAAACTTGTTTAGTAACTTTCAGAACAAACGTGACATGAAAGGAACGAATCTTACTCAAAGTTATACCAGAAATTTAGTATTCTTAATTTAGGTAGTTATCTACAATTTTGAGGCATATTTTGTAACAGAAAAGATTTAGTAGTCTTTCGAAATGGAAAGTTGCATTAAAAAATCGACAGTCAAATCGTTCACAAATAATTCATTTAACTTTGTTCTGGTTTCGACAATTTCTGTGTGTCCATATTGTTGCCAGGTATAAAGTTACCAGGAGTAAAGGACGGAGATATTAACACCGAGTGACAAGAATGAAAACAAATACGTGGCCTACAAGGTGTGACAATAAAGTGTCGCAGATAATTTATTCAAAAATTTTATTTCGAAAATTAAACGGATGTTAAGCCTTCACCTTCAAAGTATACCCTTGAGATTATGCACGCATTAAAGTGTGAAATCTATTGATCGTAATATTTCTTGTACCCACTTCTTGGTCATCTGTTGCCATACCCACGTTACATTACAGAGCGTGGCAATAAAATTTCGGTCCCACGTTTTTCGTTTGAAATTTTACAAGTATTTTCATAGCTAATAAAAATTCACAATCACAATTTTTCAGGACTATCTATATGGGGCTAGGAAAAATTATTTTATACTTTTTAGTCCATTTTAAAAACGTGGTATATTAGAAATTTTTTTTATTTAAATAATTATTGTTTTATGTATCTGTTAAATAAAAAAGAATTATCCAGGTAGTCCTGAATATAAGTAAAATATCACAAAACATGACATAAACAATGTGTAGATACTAAATGTTACTCATTTTTCGTACAAATGATACTTAGTAAGAATTTTCATATAAAATATATGAAGGTACAATTGTATCTCTGCCGCCTGTTAACGTTGTGAAATTATGCCACCTGACGAAGGTTAACAAGAATTACCCAGAGTTCCGTGAAAAATTGTATCAGAGGCGATGGAACGGCAGCGGAAGGGGGGTGACCGCGTACATTGGGAACGACCTAGTGATGGGCACCATCGACTAAATTAAACTATCAACTAAGGACTATTTAGTCGCAACATACTATCGACTATTTAGTCGATAGTTTTTAGTCGACTGAAATGTTGCTTTATAGGTTATGTATAGATTATCTCGTCAATTTTTCAGCACTATTGGTGTATTTACCTTTTAGAAATGTATTACTTCATAGATAGAATTTCAAAAATATAAATGGTAAACAAGTTTTTTTAAACAATTACTAGTATTCGATTTTTTGTAAGCTATTTAATACTGGCACTTAAAAAATTAACTGCTCTAAATTTGTTATGTAAATCAATTAGGTTATAAACAATAATTTGCACAGTTCTTGGTAATGCATAAAAAAATATATGAAAAAATTGCAATTGGTTTGCACCACGAAGAAAATAATTAAGATCCAGTTAATAGCGATCAATAGCTCGATAGTTCGAGCGAGTCGCTTGAAGCGACTAATATTAGTCGCCTCAAAGTAATCGCTTCAAGCGATTAATATTATTCGCCTGAAGTTAGTCGCTTCAAGCGATTAAAGTAGTCGACGATTGACAAAACTAGTCCACTGAATGTAGTCGTTGGTTTATATCGACTTAGTCGATAGTTTTTAGTCGATGGTGCCCATCACTAGAACGACCATAGACAGTACGTCTATGGGAACGATTGTCGAAAAACTGTGGCGGCGTTGCCGGATTTATCGACGCACGCCACCGTAGGCTTTTTCTTCTTTTTCGTTTACCGCGTCGCTGTTGCGATCCTCCTACCATTTTCTAGCCGACAGCGAGCGGTCTGTCGCGCGAAGAAAAAACGGGGAGAAAGAAGAAACGAACGAGAGAGCTCGATTGTGCTACGGAGAGGCTCGGGTAGGTATACCTGTCACCGAGTTTCTCGTCGACGGTATACACTTCCCACGAGCGTTCCGTCGAGCAGAGGAATCCGTAATCCCCGATCTTGTCTGCCCGGATCATCCGTTCCCTGGGCCGGCGATAACGCGTCGCCTGTTCAGCGTTGGAACACGCTTCACCGTGTATATCCGCTCTTGCTTCCTTGGCTTCCAACGGGGTCTCGAGTGGAGTTTATGAACACGGTTACGTAAATTGAAGAAGAACTATGACGAGCTACGAATTCGCAACAGTTAGTCGTCTGTTAATCCTGGTCCGTCCGTTGTGTCAATATGAAACATTTTTCTTTTAAGAAATGGTGTTATTCTATCATGTGTAGGTAAAGTTTAACTGACGATTCGTGATGTATGTTTTAAAGAATTTGTAAATTTGACTTATTTATCTCTTCGCTATATTAATTTTTTACTACTTCGTTCTTTTGATACAGGGGGACAAAATAAGTTGGGAAGACCAGAAGCGAATGAGGATTACGAGTAACTGTCACTCATTGTCAGTCGCTGGTTGGTTTTGTCGAGAATTAACAAAATATGGTTTTTGCTATGTGTGTAAGAACTAATTGAATAACTTTGAATACCTGGAAGGTATCAATTGTCCGTCAATTGTGTCAATATGACACATTTTTCTTTTAAGAAATGGTGTTATTCTATCATGTGTAGGTAAAGTTTAACTGACGATTCGTGATGTATGTTTTAAAGAATTTGTAAATTTGACTTATTTATCTCTTCGCTATATTAATTTTTTATTACTTTGTTCTTTTGATACAGGGGGACAAAATAAGTTGGGAAGACGAGAGACGAATGAGGATTACGAGTATCTGTCACTCAGACGCTGGTTGGTTTTGTCAAGAATTAACAAAATATGGTTTCTGCTATGTAGGTAAGAACTATTTGAATAACTTTGAATATCTGGAAGGTATCAATTGACACTCACATGATGGCAGTGTAGTGTTATCGACCACTAACAGTTGGCACTCACATAACGCTACAGTGGTGTCATTGGCTGTCATAGTGTTATTAGTGATTTTCGTGTAATTTACAAGGAAACTTCGACAACTCGAAAATTCCGATGTTTCTTAAATTGTTCAGATTTGTGAGGGTCCTCAATAGAAGTATCAAGCAATTTTGTTTTTGCTGTTGTTTGGTAGTTCAAGGTAAAAAATGCTTCTTAAAACGTAATGTGTATCTTTCAATTTTTTCGTGTATATATTGAAAAATATAAAAGATATACAAACATTGTTTACATGAAAATTTAACAGTTTTTTATGTTCCCTAGAGGTGTGCATTGAAATTGTTAGAAGTTTGTTCAGGTATGTATTTATCAACAAATTTTTAGTAAGTCTTTTGTAGGTCCTTACAAGCCTGAAGTTCATTCAAGTGTGAAAGTTTCAGAAACATCGGAATTTTTAGGTTACTGAAGTTTCCCTGGTAGTAGGTTGAACAAAAGGTTTGACGCAGTATAAAGCTTCATCTTAAATAATTATTTGTATTTTTCGTTCCTCAAGGAGAAGTATGTATTTCCTAGTGCAATATATCAGTATTTGATATTCTTATGTTTCTACTGAATATGCTATGTATGGAATCGAGCGATTATTTGTTTATACATTTGATATTGTATTGAGCAAATACGAGAATACCTAGTGCAAGCTAGAACAGTTTGTTTGTAAATGATTTAATGTAATCGTTTATCGATGGTATTAGTAACATAACTGTGCAATTGTTACTATGAATCTCTTAGTGTTTCTATTAATATGTTCTTACTCTACGAATATAGTACATGTAGGTACAATTTAGTAACGAAATCTATGTTATAAATAAATTTGGAACATACCGTCTAAAGTTAAGTCAACCCAGATGTAAATACCATTATTGAGCCAAAGTCATTTATCATTCGATTACAACTGTGCCCATTACCAGTTGAGCCTTCGTTCAAGTAACAGAACGGAATATTCTATTAAATCGGGAATCGATACGGGTGTATGGTGTGTAATTAAATTTTCCCAATAGAAATGAATCGAACAACACGTTATTGGGACATTCGTTTAAGTTCCTAAATATAGGTGGCCGGAACTATTAAGCGTTCCGATATTTTACGATGAATGAAAATATGGGAGGGTATAGGATACCCGCTGGAAAATTATCCCGATCGATTATAGAGTGCTACTCTGATTCGTTTAATATCCCGTTCATAGAACGGTGCGAAGTTCCGGAATGGTAGCGGGATGGGAGACCTGTTATAAGAGGGAAATAATGGAAATGTAGGACATCGATAGAAAATTATCCCAATCGATTATATCGCCGAGCGTGCAACGTTAACGGGATAATTCGATAATGTGGCGCAAAGTGATTTCAAATATAATAACACGCTCCGCGCATTAAGTAGTCGCGACGTGATAATGCGAAAGACGTTTACACTGGAGCTATGTACGTCCACTGCCCTGGTGGTATAATCGGATAACTTCCTCGCGACGTTATTATTTTTCTCGGACGCAAGGGGGGCGTTTTAACGACGTAACACCGATACCCGAACTAGCCGTCAGCGATTGGCAGCACAGTTCCCTCCGTAATTGACTGTATCGAACTTCGAATTCGACCTAGATATCCTTTGAAACCGACTAAACTACCTACCCCCCTCCGTCCCCCAGGGGAATTATTTAAACTCCCGTCCTGCGAATCACGAGACAATAACGAACTGGAAAGTTCGAATGTTTAATACCAATATTGATTTCATTTTAAAATTCATTCGGACACCGCATAGAAGGAAGTGGAACACCTTGAATGGTTATTCGAAACGGTAATTGACCGTTCGAGGCAATTGATTTCGTGAATTTTCTGCCACTTAGCCCCGTTTGTACGATTACTGACAGTAATTTGGAAAACATATGTAGTTGTTAGGTAAATGAGATTCTTTATATAGATAGAAAGTATCTGTGACAGTTAATGAAGTATTAATTATTTAATTTAAACTTTGCGATTACTTTGACGATAGGATTGAAAACAGTTACATTGGAATATTGATTGGATATAAATATGGCGAATGTTCACTTCATTAGGCAACCTGATGGTAGGAAATTGATAAATTTTGGTGAGTTCAAAAATATTCCTGAGGTTGTAAAGATACCATTGTATTTATGAGTAACACAATTCAATTGTAAAGATGATAAAGTTATTTAGACGTGATTTTGTTTGAATTAAAATGTAAGCTACGTCTAAAACCAGAAGTCGCATGTAATCCTGTTATAACATATACCTATTAGACTGATAGACAGTAATCATCCACAGGTGAATAAATAATAAAATTAGATTCGAATCCTGTCAGATGAGATTTATTATGAGTTTTCAATTGTTCGATGAAACTGATGATTTAATCTCAATGAAATTGATTTCGACAGAATATACAATTTTGACAGATTTGGTAGTTAGCGTTTACACAGTTTTCACGAATTTATTGAACACGATAAACCACGGATATTTCACTAAGAGTACATGTCTACAGAATTTTTTTAATATCATGATTATGACTGCATTTAAAATTTATTCAAGGTATCTTCTATGTTCATTATTACCCATCGCTGATTTCCATAAATTCCAGAAAATCATACATACGAGTCCAACTACACAACATACAACAACTAAGACTCTTCATTTCCACTACGGCACAAATACGTACAGCAAATCACAAGCTGATCTGTACCAATTAATGAGCTACAACTCGGACAAACATTAGAGAGAACGCATTCAGCAGTCAGAGAGAACAGATTCAACAGTCAAAGAGGGCAAATCCAGCATTTACATCAAGCACAATTAGTACAGATGTACACACACATACATCATACTATGTTACGATCAGTAAAGTTTCAGGGTGTTACCAAGTTGTGTCAAATTATTCAATATCACACCATACGACCAACCAGAATCACATTATTTATATCGCCACTACTATTACTATTCCAAACAACACCAAGTAAATTTTTGTAAAATAAATACCCTTGTATTAACATAACAAGATCTATGCATATTTAATATACACTTCTGCTCCTACGTATTGGGACATTTATCAGCTATGCAACAAATGTTACAAAGCACTATAAAATTGGTGAAAATCAGAAATAAATATTATTTAGGGAATATTAAAACTTAGTGGACAACGTTTGTGCTACTACAAATTAATAAAGGTGGCCCAAAATTTTTACTATACATCACATTTTCGTCATACAAACCATTTCGTCATAAGTATGATAAGTCCTAATACTTATGAGTAGACTGCGGATTTTATCCATTTATAAATCACGAATCCCAAGAATTCACTCAACTTAACACTCTTCTGACCGGTAGCCTATTAATAGACTTAAATTTCAGTGCTGATAAATAAAAAGGCTATTAATTTAGACTTAGATCAGGGTTAAAGTAGAAATTGTTACGTTATTCTGTTAGAGTTCTTGCCATTTTTCATGAATGTATGTCGTTACTGTTTAATAGGTTTAATAGTTCTTTGGCTATTCATCCTGGGATCTACTAAACCTACTAAATTGTAGCAACCGGTACGTAATATGTTAAGACTTTGTTAAATTTTAAAGAAGTGTTTATTATCTTAGGAACCCGGTGGTATATTAATAAAGTTGACAGTTCGTGGTTCGACTCCAATTCTGTAAATTAAACCATAAAAATCCATATTTGCATAGATACACATCCGCAGTGTACATATGAGCAGTAGCGTACATTCTACTTCATTAATCATTAATAAAAATTATTATACCTGTAACATTCCGTTCCATTCCCATCACCCCCAATTAATTCCATATTTGTTTCATTATATCCTTTTTCCCAGCATCCACCACAAAATTAAGTTGACGTGTCCCCAGCCAAAAGCGTCGGAAATATTAAACACCTGCGATCGTACGCGCAACACAGTCTCATATGCACCGGGTCAATATCATAATGCATCAACGGCACTTTATCAAATATTCACCCACCTCCCCGGAAATTCCTGTGCCAATGTAGTACCTCCGTCGACTTTCGCGATTATTTGCTTAACGCTCGGCAAATTTCGGGTTAATACGCGGACTCGATGGGGGTAGTTGACGATAACACAAGATCCTTACCTAAGCGCATCCGAGGAGCCCGGTCTCAGGGACTTAACGATCACTAGGTCGCTGCCAGCGTTCCGGAAAACTTCGTCGTATCCGGGAAACCTGTCGACCTCGCAAACGTGAACGTCCCCGAAGTATCCGCAGCCGAGGTTTTCAACGATGTTCAGCTTCTCCCGTGGGAAGTCTAGGATGCACTCGGGCACCTCGTCCTCCTCCTCCGTGAGCATATCCTCCGGGCTGTAGCTTGTCATGCTGCTCGAGGCTTTCGCGCTCATTGGCGGCGGCGTGCTAGGCGTCGGCGACGGCGGCAACGGCGGCAACGAGTTCTGTAATAAAAGCCAGAAATGTCGTACCGATGAGAAACGGAAAGCCTTGGAAATATTTGCGAACGAATCCGCGGAGAATAATACCCCCCCCTGGCCGTCGGTTTTATCGAATTTTTTCCGACGGATGAATATAAATCAGAGTGTGAGCCTGAAAGGTTCAGGAGACAAAGAATGAGGATCTTTTTTTTCGTCTGCTATGATATTTCAATACATACTGATGTATTTTTTATTTATATTATATTATGTTTGTTTTATTTATTTTATATGTTCTTGGATTTGATGGCCTCGACAGTTAGAAAAAGTTACATAATATTTAGTTACAGATCTTCGATGTTTAAATTTCGTTTTACTCGAAATAAGATTACGTGGACCTTCGTCTTTTTTCCGCTACACGTATCGGCTTTTAAGTTTCTATTACACTGACTTCGTTTGCTTTCATACGTTTAGTAGGGCCACTGATACACTTTGTAGATAGACTTGCATTTATTTATGTTATTTAGTAGAGATAATGCGACAATATTAGAGGATTGTAATAGAAGAGAATTTTTAGAAGTACTTGAATAAGAAATGATTCTTCATTGAATTACACTGAATGTATGATATGAAATGTAAAAAAAGAACATTAATTTGATTGGATCCTTTTTCATTCTGTGTACCAACTATTTTGAGATTTACTACATTTTGTAGTAGATAAACACAAGTTAAATGCCAATATTGTAAGAAACAGCTTACACGAATATCTTACTACTGAAATAAGAACAAACTTCTAAACAATATCATTATATTTTCTTTCATGAAGAACTTATGAACTGTTGATGAAAGTATCATTTCAAAAATTGCCATGAATTTTTGAATGACCATGTGATGTCGGTATGTGGTATGTATAAAATGTCGGTGTAGGTAATTTTGATACAGATATGCACAAATAGAGTGATGACATTAATCATGTATTTTTTAAGACACAGCTACTTTTGTGTTATATTCCTTGCCCAGCATTACGCGCCATTGTACTTCGTTTGGTTTAACCGAATGCCCCGTTACGTTACCCCAACAAATCCCCCAAGTATTTAATTACCAGGCTTGTATTATTCATGAGCCCGCTATCAGTGCACCCCTCTCTTCAATTATTTTTACGTTACTCCCGGTGTAGAAGCAATTAGGAAGCAAATTTACAAAAATCATGGTCGATCTTTCTTTGGTAAATACACCAGTGATTAACAATATTCACCTTGGCGGGCAACAATAGGGGATGATGGCGTAATCAGATGAAAATACGCGTAAAGCGGCTAGGGGAACTTAAGTAATCAATAACCACACCCTTTACATTATCGTCCGGTAATCTGTGTATGCCCACGAAAGACGCTTTCCTCGGACGTCTCGCATTAGTTATGATTGATAGTACCTCCTGGTTGCCTTGTTTTTCATCCATTAAGCCTCATTATTCTCTGTGCGAAGTGTTTTAACGTCGCGCCAGCGAATTCTAAGACCCGGGGAAAAATTGATCGTGATATTGTTTTCAATGAGAAAGCAGCGTGTTTTCACCACGACAATCAAACGAGGGCTGAGATATCTTAGTTATGGAAATGCACGCGAAGGAATGGCTAATTGATTCGAACTTGAATCTAGACACATGCATCGAATCAATTCAGAATTGTGAAACTAGAGTCGCGCTAATTCATGATAGAGCCACTCGTATTGGTTCAACCCGGCTTCAGAAGACTTAAATAGAACCGACCTTGAATTGACGAACATGAATTCACACGACTTGTGATCAATCGACACTAATTAAAGCAATTCAGGATTAAGAAACACGAATAGGACTAATGCAAAATAGAGAGAAGAGAATTGGACCAAATCAGAATCGAAATACATGAATCTGAGGAATTCAAGATGAAAGACCGGAAACTAAGCAATACAAGAAAAAGGAACTCGAATCAGATGAAACCGGCGCCGAATGATTCGAAACAAATCAACCCGAGAGTGTAATATTCGAATCGAACCAACCTAGAGTAAAGAAGTACGAGTCAGACTAATCCTGTATCGACATAACTGAATTGAACTGATCTAGAAATAAGAGAATCGAATCAAACTAGGGGAAAGGTGTCTAAAACGATCCCTTTAAGGCGTAATTTATATAAAAAATTCAAATGCTCATTATTTAAATAAAAGTAAAGTAATTTTTGTATGTTAGTCTATCTGTCTTATCATTGGCTGAAATAAAATTTAGCTACCTGATCAATTATATTTTTTATTCAGATTTCATTGAAGGCATACCTAAGAATCATTTTGTAATATACGTGTCCAAAATGATCCCCGGAGATCATTTTATACCTACTGATAGTAAATACGACGAACATTAAAAAGCATTTCATTTATTCCATTTTATTTAAATAAAAACAGCTTTGACGCGTTGTTTTTCTTTCATACTGACAGGGGCATTGTTGTAACTAAAACAAAAAAACAATAATATTGCATATGGGTAAAATGATTCCTGGGATCATTTTATCGTACTAGAGAGGGATCATATGACCCCAAACACCCAATTCATATTCAGTGGTTGAATGTAACCTCAACTTATTATTGAATTGTGGTTAAATCCGCGCAAGAAGCAGCTGTCGCATTAAACCGTTTATGATAAAAGTTACACAACATTGAAAAAGACCTTATCATAGATAAATTGCAGTAATTTTACATTTTTTTCGGGCTTAGGTTCTTTGCTCCAGGGAACTCTGTATTAAATTTGTTGACTGTGACTTATCCTGATCCAGACGTTTTAATTCTTTGGCAGCAAGACTACTAACCATCAATTTAGGGCTCACTTTCTTCATTTTTTTACGTTCTACATTGACCGAAATAGTGATTGGAGTGCCATTTGAATCCTTCGACCTTGAATCGATTCGATCCAAATCCTTCGACTCTAGGTTGGTCCAATTCAGTTTCCTCAGCTCTGATTTGATCACTGTCTTCTCGCTTCAATCTAATTCAGGCCTCATAATACCGACTCTACCTGATCAAAGTACGTATACAATCTGTATTAAATTTGTTGACTGTGACTTATCCTGATTCAGACGTTTCTATTCTTTGGCAGCAAGACTACTATCCATCAATTTTGGGCTCACTTTCTTAATTTTTTTACGTCCTACATTGATCGAAATAGTGAGTGGGGTGCCATTTGTATTCTTCGACCTTGAATCGATTCGATCCAAATCCTTCGACTCTAGGTTGGTCCAATTCAGTTTCCTCAGCTCTTCTCGCTTAAATCTAATTCAGGCCCCACAATTCCGACTCTATCTGATCCAAGTACATATACAACCGAAAAATGTTACAATCGCGTGTTATATATTATCAAAATCTCCTAAGCATGAAACAAGACTTTTCAGGGACAGAGTTAAGTGAAATTAAATTAAAGCAGAAGCCGGAACACCGTGGTGGCGAAACAACAAGGAATTAAGAGGGACCCAGCCGCTGTATAAGCTCACCGGGGCCGCGAAACCCTCGAAAGGGAAACGATTCAAGTGGCCGCGTGGCGGCGTGCCTACGATCGCGTTGTAAGATCCCGTAGTCACGAAGTGGTGTTTGACACAGTTCCAAGCCTCCCGAAGTGGCCCGCATTAATGCCCCCCGCGTGCGAGAAGGACTAATCGTCACGGATCGCATGTCTGCCGTACATTTTTGATACTCACCTTGCAGATCTCCGTGCTGGCGTAATACTTCTCTGGCGGCGGTGGTATGGGCGGCGGATTAGATGGATATTCTTGAACCGGCGGGATCGGCGGCCTCGCAAGATTGATCGTCGTGTTCAACAGCAACGGAATAACCGGCTGCACCTCCGTGATCCCTGTCCGGCGATATCCGTGAACGGGTGGGGAAAAAGAAAAAAGAATTTTTTTTTTCGACAAGGTTAGAGACACACGCAATGATGGCCACGGTGCACGTAAAGAAATTATTTACCTCGCGACTCGAAAGCTGCCCTTGCGCGCAACGCGATTGCATGCAACGTGGAACTTTTCGAAACCTGTACACTTCCGTCCTTTCTTTTTCTATTACCGGCCCCCGCGACGCGGTTTACGTTCTATTACGACACGTTGAGCGCGACCGTTCGAGGTCTTCGTGTTTTCACATGGTTTTCCCTTATCTTTGTGGGACAGACCCTCGATGTGATCGTACGAATCGATTAGGAGGCATGTGATTTTGTAATTAAACCTTTTTTCTGGCGGGTCGCATGGTTTTTTGTTTGCAACGTGGAACAATGTTTAAGGGATGTTCTAGTTCTTAAAGTAATTCACGTTTCACGGTGATATGGAAGGTTTCTATCAATCGAAAGAAATGATTGACTTTAATAGATTAGTGCATGTGAACTGTTGTTTCTGGAGTTCCGAATTAGCCGGGCCAATAATATCCATTATATGTATTTGGACCGATATTCTATTGTTTTATACCGTATTAACACTGTCACGTCACCTAAATATAAGTGACACGTAAATTTGCAAAAAGGCCGGATTGTTATAATAGGAAGGCTGGAAATTTTGCATAAAATTAATATCTCACAGTGTAATCTAAAACAAGACCATACATATTTTCGACGAACTTAAAAAATGAAATAAAGTGTGTCTGGTTACATAAAAACTTTTTCGCTGTGGCAGTTAACGTATCAGAGCAGAAAAAATATGTTGTAATACACGTGTTTTGAATATTAACAAGATACACAGGGTGTCCCACGTGTCACCACAAAATTTCATGGCATTTCTTTACTTTTGCAAAAAAAAAATTGTACTTCACTAAATATTTTTACTACTTCTCGACTTTTATTCTTTGCGGGATACTCTATAGATTAGAAATATTTTCACTCACAAATCGTCTTTAAACAGTCGGTGATTATGCAAATACGATCTGGTTTTGCAGTTCCGATTGTCATAAAAATTTCAACGGGCGTAATAGTCACGAAAAAGCTCGGCGAGAAATTTAAAATCGATTAAGGACGGGTACGTCGGAGGTACAAAGGTCCGATAAATCACGCGGAAGTTTATAATGATTTGTGTTCATGTAAGTATTGGCTTAAGTGGTCCACGAGCTCTATAATAATCAGTCTACCATTAGCCTGTAATTTAATTCGAGCGTTGCTCGGCATATCGCGGTAGGTGTTGCGTTTATCGTCGCGGCCGATGCCTATAGTCCACCGCCACCCAACCATGGTTTTACGTAATTTTAGCCGAACGCAAACTCGATAATGCGCCGCAGCGCAAACCCGCTCATTCCGAGTTTTCCCTCCATCTCCCCCTTCGCTATTTAATTAAAACACATAACGCTGTAATAAATATCGAGGCCGCGAGCGAATCTAGGCCTGATTTCAGAGTCCGTAGGTTCCCTAATAATTAATAACCCTACACTGAACACTTGTGTGTAAAAATCACATCATCAAAATATACGATATTACATTCTACAGCGTCCTCTACACGAGCACTGATCAACTTACATTTGCTACGAATATTAAAATCTATATTGCCTCAAATGATAGGAAGGTGTACAGTAGGCATAGAAAGTGTAATTAACACGGCCAATGCGGAACATTTATTAAAATTCCAACTCTAGTGAGGTAAATTATTTAAAAGTTTTGTGATTAGTTTTATTTTAACCCTGCTGTTCTCCTTGGGTTTATATAACCTGAAATGAAGATTATATTTCAATAGATATTATGGTTTTAAACACTTGTTTTCAGTATCCAACGTAGTAACATTTTATGTCTACTGTTTGTGTATTTCCCATTTCCTAAGAACAAATTATTTCAAGGTTTGAAATAATTTTATTCGAAGGGATACGAACGTGAAGAATAAGTGAGGAGAACAGCAAGATTAAAACAGTCGCAAATTCACTACTTAACCCTTTAACGCCCAGTGTTGCACCGGTACAACAATAATTTTAAAAGTGCGTCAAATTCTGTCGCCGGTTAATATGTAACTTTTGTCAGTGAAGATCATATTTTCAATTTGAAAATAACAAGATACAACATATACATATATCAGTTTTATAATTTTTAAATACCAATTTAAGGGTTTAAGCGTTAAGGGGTAAATGCTTGAATTAGTAATATATTCAAAAAATATTTCAAGAAATTGATATCAATAATTGTATCGAGTTCGGTATCGAGAATGTATGAACTTAAAGGGACACGTAAAAAGTATATACAGTGTGTCATGTAACTGGTGGTACAACCGTATGGGGATGAATCTAGGTGAGAAAATAAGTTTAAAATTTAGAACAAAATTTTTTCATTTAAAACTTCGTCTTTTGTGAAAATCGAGTTTCAATTTCTGTTGAATACGCGTGTATTCTTGGCTAACGCGTCTAATCATTGCATTCCGTTTCCACTTACGACCATGACGAATACACACGTTTCAAGTCAATTTTCTCAAGAATGAAGTCCCAAATGAAAAAATTGTGTTCCATATTTTCAAATTATTTTTTCAAGTAGAATTACCTCCTACCCGGTTTTACGACCTTATCCGATACTTGACAGTCTCTATACTTGATATACAGGGTGTAACAAAAGTGTTGTAGGTCCCTGAAACGGGTCACTCATAAGATGATTTGGAACAAGTTTTTCTGACCTATTGTCTGCACTTTTACGACATTCCTCACAAAACAACAAATGTTAATAGACTCTATTCTTTTTTTCTTTCATTTGAAACATATTCTTCTTTATACAGTCTATGAATAAAGACCTTAATTAAATCAATATATGAACGATCAACTAAAACGTTCATCGTGGCAGCAAGCGCAGTCTCTTCGGTTTAATTGAAAATTCCATAAAAAATTCATCTGGAACCAATCGAAATTAATCACATCGGTATTGGCCCCCGAAGTATGTAATTGTGAATTATTCGAAGCCCCACTTTGTCGGTTCACAATTACTTGACTTGGTAAAAATGTCATCCGAGGCTTTGTTAACGAAATATTAACGAAAAACCTTCGTTTCCGTAATATCTCGTTAACAAAGCTTCGGATAACATTTTTGCTTTAATACTTTTATTACATCCTGTATGTATCGACTTCGTCACTCTAAAGAACCTTTTCGATATATGTATCGACCTCGCACTGAACGTGTTAAAGAATTATATGTATATTTCATATCATAAAAAATAATAGTATGAACTTCTCGGGCCCAATGTGTGCTCTGTAGAGTTAGTAGACCCCGACCCCAAAAACACATGTAATTGATAATCATTAGAATCGAAGTGCAACCCTCCTGTACTCGTGGAAACGATTTAATGCGGCTTAACCGTACAGACGAAAGTAAAGTTCTGATGGCTTAACGCTGAACCGACAGAGTGGGGCTTCGAATGATTCACAATTACATACTTCGGGGGCCAATACCGAAGTGATTAATTTCGATTGGTTCCACTTGAATTTATTATGGAATTTTCAATTAAACCGAAGAGACTGCGCTTGCTACCGCGATGAATGTTTGAGTTGATCGTTCATATATTGATTTAATTAAGGTCTTTATTCATAGACTGTATAACGAAGAATATGTTTCAAATGAGAAAAAAAAGAATAGTGTCTATTAACATTTGATGTTTTGTGAGGAATGTCGTAAAAGTGCAGACAATAGGTCAGAATGTTTCAATCTTTAAAGTATATTTTTATATAGGCGAAGCATGAAATTGATTGTATGTTTCAGATATAATAGAGGAGAGTTTCGAAATGAGAATATTAAATCATTCAGGTTCCGTAATAATTAATCATTTTCTGCGGTACGCTAAGTCGATAATATCAAATCTATTCGAATTAATTTAGAACATCAAAGGCGTAACGTTTGTTTATTTCATTTAAACGATAATTATGTATTCGGTTTACGAGATCACCGAACTGTACCCATTAGACAATTATTGAAATTGTTATCTACCCTTTACTGCAGAAACTACTTTGTTAATCTTCAAATTTACGAATATACAGTGGATGAGAAAAGTACTTGCTCATTCAAATCTCTTATCAGTGACGGTTACATTGTCACAAATAAATCACAATAGTGCAATTATCAGAAATATATTATATAGAGCAAAATGTATGCAATACTTCTATGATTAACACGTTGATCGCCGAAATGTTTACTATTGAAATAATATTATGATGAAACACATTTGTTCAAATATTTGCTTTATATGAGGAATATAAATATTTGCATATTGGTTTCAATTACACCCATTATATGGATTATTACCTACTCCACAAGCAACTATACTTACAAGATTTGATATATTACAATTTAGAAATGCAATGTTTCTTCATATACTTTGATGTCTGGTAGAAACTATTAATTTTGTTAAGAAATCTAGAACTGTACAAGATAATTTGTAAAAATACAAATACTTCTTTCACACCACGCGTGTCCATACTCTACAGCAGTAACGTATATTCAAAGTGAAAAGAGCCAAATGAGACAGGAAAATCAATGATCATGTAAATCATTTGACTTTTTATGACACGTTTAATAATACCGTGGAATATGTTTCGAGGTGTGCCGTTGATAATCGCGAGCAACTCGAGCCGCCGCTGTTTGAATTAATTTAAATGGGCCTAACCGTGCATGCACAGGCAGAATTCGAAAGGCTTAAGTATCGCACTTAACGTCGCTACCAACCGCTGTAATCCGTGATAGTTTTGTGTAGTTGAGGTGTCGTCGTGGTGTAGGCAGCCGCGTGGTACTGCGCCGGAAGCGGAGGGCAAATTGGTCCCTTGTCCTCGCCCTCCTCCTGCACGGAGACCTGCGGCCGAATATTGAACGTACCCGTTAATGCACCTGACATTTATGCACAGGCCGCGCGTGTATATCGCCCGGTGAAAGCGATATTCCGCCCGGGAACTTTCCGTCACTTTGAGCAACTAGCTTCGCTCTATCTCTCCAAACTACTAAATACATACATATATTTCTGGTTCCTTTATTTATCGTAATATTAAAATATGTAAATCTCAACGACCGACCCTCCACCAGGGATATAGGGGGTTGATATCGGGTCAATTGAGATCGATATCGAAATTTCTTTTTATATACACTGCCCAAACCACTTAGGGGATCTTACATTATAGTTGCTGCGTTCGAAAATATGGCAAATAATTCTCGGAATCTTTGAAATACTCGGAATACTTGGAATACTTGGAATACTTGGAATACTTGGAATACTTGGAATACTTGGAATACTTGGAATACTTGGAATACTTGGAATACTTGGAATACTTGGAATACTTGGAATACTTGGAATACTTGGAATACTTGGAATACTTGGAATACTTGGAATACTTGGAATACTTGGAATACTTGCAATACTTGGAATACTTGGAATACTTGGAATACTTGGAATACTTGGAATACTTGGAATACTTGCAATATTTGGAATACTTGGAATACTTGGAATACTTGGAATACTTGGAATACTTGGAATACTTGGAATACTTGGAATACTTGCAATATTTTTCTTCCAATCAGTGTACGATAATACTATTTAAGAGATGTACGAACGCATTACAATAAAATACAATAAAAATTTGCGAATGAGCCAAAATTTCTACTGTATCATTATTACTGCAATTATGATACGGGACGGGTCAAATGTGAGACAAAGTTTATTAATTCCTATAATCAGATCTTAAATTGAACAATTTGGGGCAGGGTTCATATTAATTCTGCCAGAATATCCCTGTCGTTTTCTTCCTCTTCTATTTAATTTACAGTAAAATCTGTTCACTTTAATATCGATCTGAAATACATTGCATAATATAGCGCATTGAATAAAAATTGCAATACCAATAAAAACCAAGCTGAAGTGATTAACTTTTTATCACATATGAACAATAATTATAGAAAAACGTTTCTGTACTCCAGTTGTAGAATTGATATTCGACATTAACAATTTATGTTTCTGATCTAATTGCAATCGTTACGTACAACAGTATATTCCTTTCGCCATTTCGTCAATAACTACGAAATTTACCCCTTAAAATAACCTAACCCCTCCGTGAAACAGTCTATGTAAAGAATATTAAACAGTTTCTCTGCTATAATTATGTACTGTGCATCAACCTCCGTCTCGTCTAAAGAATCACGCAACGCGGGAAACATGGCGACGCGAATAATGCCGCACAACGTTATTATCCGCACAATGCATCGAAACGTATAATAAAATTTATCATATCATCGAGTAATTATTAGTTACGGTTCGGTCTGATGCCCGAGGAAATTGGATCCCGCTATATTGTGCACTCCAGTTTCGTTAATATTATAATTAATGCACGGTCGAACATCTATACCGATAAGCCTTACCACGTGTGAGATTAATAAAAAATAGAACAATAAAAATAATCCGGTAGGACGTATCACCTTCGTTCCACATCTCAAACTTCCACATCGCGCTTTATTTCCTTAAAAATAGAAAGTTGAATTCAGGTATTCAGGTTACCATCACGCTAGTACAAGAAACTCCCGCATAACACAGTGGTTAGGTTTCTAAAAATTGTTATACAAAATTGAAAAAAATAGATTAGCTTCCAGAAAATAACAAAACTACAAAAATGGAAATAACAAAAATGTTAATAACCACAGCAATGACCGTAGTGTGAGGCGGGAAACTCACTTTTTACAAAAAAAATCAAAGTTTCTAAAAAATTGAATAATATAGGATATCGAAACAAATCAATTTAAAAAATTGAAAGTTAACTTACGAAGAGGAGATTTCCAAGTATTACCTATTTTTTCCCCTATATCTACCGCGGCCGGTCAAGTGACCGGTTTTTCCGTACTAATTCCTACCTTTTTATTTATTTATTTATACGTGTATTTAGAATATATACGAGCATAGCCCTGTTTGAAGTGTTCTGTAGATTTCGTGTTAGAAGCCTCAGAGTGATGTACTCCCATATCAAGGATCTATTACATTGACGACCCCGAAACATAAAGACCAGTATCGTCGGTTCTTATCGACCACAGACTCAAACACGCGTATCGAGGCTAGCGAGAAGGAACAGCTTCGGTCAAGTATTACCGCCGCACACCTCAGGAAATTAAGGCTCTTATTGTAACAAACAATTCTCCACCAGAAGTACGATCTCACACACCACCCTTTCATTCACCTCCAAGATCGATAAGAGGATCCCGCCGAGGCACGATTCACCACGGTTGTGACATAATATCTATTGATTTTTCCCTTGCCCTCGAATGTCGCGGACGTCTAGAAGGGCACCACTGGAGGTGTGAGGGTGGTGTTAATTTCCGTTTAGGAAGCGTTAGGGTGCCACGTCGCCAAGATACTACGCCGACACTGTTAAGATAAGATAACCACTTAGCCATCGGGATTCTGCTCGAATCTCTTTGCTCGATTCCCACCACCCCCTTCAAACCGTCTTCCAGCTGGTCTTCTTTCACTTTTTTTGCTTCGATCGCTACCCGTGTCTGGTACGTTGCTCGTCTTCCTGTCATTCCAGGGTTCTATAGCGACGCCTCTCGTTTGCCATTAGGGCTATCTGAAGTCCTGTCGCGACTTCCTCCCCTCTTATGACCGGGCATTCAAAGAGACGTCTCGACTGCTCGTTCGGGTTGATGGCTCGATCACCAGCGAACCCCTTCGATGTGTCGGGGCTCGTTGCTTTCGGGGACGAGATGGGGAAACGAACCGAGGGAGAACACGGAGGGACACACACGGCGATCTTTTATCGCGTCTCGAACTGGTTGTAATAAAGTGCAACAGCGGGGAGGAGGCTGGGGGTGGGGGTAAGCATTCGATGAGAGTCGTTAACCCCTAGCGTTGACACTTAATACGTTCGATGCTGTGTGAAATGGGATGCGATGGCATGTTGAAAAATGATCGAGCAGTCGGAGTGCATTTTTCATCTTCTTGGTATCTTTTTATTTTCATGGTGGACTGAAGCGTGGTGCTATCTATTCGGTTGATGCATGCGTAATGGGGGAATTTTCAAAGCGATACTTTTGTATTACTGTCATCAGAATGTTCTGAAGATAGATCATGTTTTGGGAGTGATGTGTTACACCGCATGTAATGGAGAATACTTAGTTGATTGAATTACTGATTTTCATGTTTGAAAAAAAAATTTCTTATCATATGGAAAGAATTTTGTTATTAATCCTCTGCTATATGATTTTCTTGACATACATGTATAGTCTTCAGAATTTAGAGAACGTTTTCGAATTTGGACCATCGCATAGGTTGGACCACTACTGTCTCTTGTCATGGGTAAATAATTTGCACCGTATGATAGACAATATGTGTATGATAGAGGTGATTGCATTAACTAACTTTGTATACAGGCAACACACGTTATACTGCACAAATTGCTTTGCACATGACAAGTTACAGTAGTGGTTTAACGTAGGCGTTGGTCCAAATTCAATAACCTTCCCTTACTTTATTGTTACTAGTTTTCTACAAACAAAAGAAATTCTGTTATCGCAATTGGACATTTCCTCAAAAATATTAAATATTAATTCCGACAGAATAGTATTTCACTTCGACTCAAAGAAAACGAATAAAATTCATGTATATTTAATTCCATATTGAAATCGTCACCACGAGTCTGACAAGATATTATAAGGCAAGGGGTTATAATGTATCAATCTAACACTTGATTAAAATTGCATTTGTACATACGACTGTGGCTAGATGTGATAAGGATGTGTTAACTGTTCGCGGTTTAGAGGGTGAATTGTGCTTCTCACCTGAATTAGTTCAGTAGGTTATGAAACTCATTCGGAACCCACAGACACATATTTGAATCTTGGGTTCTGATAATTTCGGTAACCCACGAAGCACGTACAGGTGAGGGTACACATGATGCCTCCAAAAATCGCGATCTTGATAATTTCTAGTCGCCAGGAGATGACCGCCTAATATCAGATAATATAATTTGATCTTTTAAAGAATTGCATGACATTAAAAAACATTTTCGAATTATCATTCCTTACTGCAAATAAAATTAATTTTGGATTAGGATATTCATCTTTTCTTATTCATTTTGACGCTTCTCTAAACGACACTCTATTGCTGTTATCGTCATTATCTCAGAATTTGCAATAACCATACACAATTATTAAAATGTCCACCGTATGATTATTCACAATTTCTGAGGTATTTTTACCAACCCAATACCACAAATATTGTATTATAACAAAACTGTGGATTTTATGCATTTATAGCCTATAGGGCTTTCTGAAATACAATAAAAAACAAAACTTTCATCAGTTGCTACGAGTTCTGTATTTTATTCTCAATTCAATGAGACACTTAAGGGAAGGAAGAAATTCCTACACCCGTTCTTGCCTTTATGAATTTCATTAAAACATGTCATTTTGTTTATAGATCCGCAGTCTATTATAATGTAGTTAATTATAATGTACAACTGAAAAATGACGTACACCATTTCAATGGAAATTCTGTACAATTCAAATGGATACAAACAGTTGTAGTATTATTTACTAAACGAAACCGTCCCTCCTATTTTTTTAACGTATTAGCAAAGATTGAATTATTACACAAATACATAGTTAACCATAAATTATAGGTAACAAATGAAACATGCGTACAGTCCCCTAAATCTTGATATTCTCAGCACGTGAAAATCGTATAACGTTCTCCAGACACCAGTCTACACCAGGGAATTAATTTCGACGGCGATTTTGTTTGTTGGACGTTCGTACATTGATAGGGAATGGATTGCAACGATCGTGCGCGCGCGAGCGTTTGTCCTCGTAATTGACAGT